TTTAAATAGTTGTTTCACCCTTTTCAACGATCTTCACTATTTTCAACGATCCCGTCAATTCTTAAATTATTTATTCTGTTACGGTCTTCAATATCGACGCTTTTTAATTTTAATTCAATATTGTCCGAAGATATTTTACCCTGCATTTTTCTTACATTTGATAAATCGTCATGAACTTTATTAATTTTTTCCTCGACTGCTCTAGCTTTATCATTGAAAACATCTCGAACAAAATTTAAGCCAGATTTCATTTCATCAAGTTCTCGCCGAACTTCTTGAAAACTAGATTGAAAGTTTTCAAACTTTTCGTTTATGCTAAATAGTGATTCACGGAAAAAAGATAAAATTGTTTCTTTTTGAATATTAAGAAGTTCTCTTATCATAGAAATTGAGACTAATTTTTCTGATTTAGACATTCCAAATTTTATTAGACAAGAAAAATTTTTTAAATTATTTTACTGTAAGAAAAACGCGTCTGTTCACCACAATGTTCAATTTTTCTGATTTAGACATTCCAAATTTTATTAGACAAGAAAAATTTTTTAAATTATTTTACTGTAAGAAAAACGCGTCTGTTCACCACGATGTTCACAACACCACCCCTCATATTTTTCACCACGTCTGTTTCACCACGATGTTCACAACACCACCCCTCATATTACCACCCCTCGTATTACCTCATATAACCCATGCAGTAGATAAGCATAAAAAATTGAGGATATAATAAATTTTTTGATGATCTTGTTTCGTTCTGACGTAATTACAAAATATTGAATAATAAAAAATTATGTATCGGCAACCGCAGAATTTTTTGATCTTTCAAATAAGGCACTTCGACACATTGTGCAAAATCAAACTTAAGTAGTTTATACCTATGCTAAATGAGAAGGCATTGCAAAAATTTGAGATGACAGGGACCTGGAAATAAAAAAGCCCTGAAACGCTTGACATAGATCAATGTTGTAACTGCCCAAACGTTTGGGCAGTTACAACATTCATCTATGTCAATCGTCAAATCTATTATATTAGATTTGACAATTGACATAGAAGAATGCTGCAACACCTCGAACCAGGTGAAATCAATATATTTTTTCTATATAGACGTCAACAATCGCTTCTTTAGAAATGTTTGATTTGTAATTTGATTAATATTAATCATGAATCAATGATTAATATTAATCAAATGAAGTATGGAGATGTTATCAATTGGTTAATATAAATAGCTAATATAAAACTCAAAAAAAAAGAGATTAAAAATCTTTTTAAAACAATGCGTAATTTTGTACTTCTAAACTTGCTTTTTTATCATTTCATGCATAAAACAACTTTGATTGAATATAAAAGTCTCCGTTTAACTGGATTTACAAGAGAACAATTTATTGAAATAAACGAATCACTTGATTCAATGAGAAAACTAATTCAGCGCCCTAAAACCCAGGCTTTGGCAATATATATCCAAACTGGGTTGGATCATTTGACAATATCAATTTTTTTTAACTTGGATCCTGAACTTGATATAAGTCGGTTACTTCAGCAAATCAGAGAGTTACTTACCATTAGTTTTGTTCCAAATAATCTAAGCGTGAACCACATCCAAATAAATGAGTTATTAAAAAACAATAACCTTTTTGCTAAAGATTTTTCAAACAAGTGACAATAAATTGATATTAACAGCAGGTGGAACTTGTTGCTATTGTCAAAAGAGTAACAATAACGTTTTTCAGCGTAAAACATACAAATATGCAAAAATATGCAAAAAAATATGCAAAAATATGCAAAAAATATGCAAAAAAAAGAAACACTTGGCAAAGCGATTTGTGATATGATTACACATGAAAATTTAAGTGTATTATGTATAAAGTATTAAATTTATATATCTAAATATAACTAGTATGTAAACGCTTAAATATCAATTAAATTTAAATATATAAGTTGTATTATAAATTAAATAGTATATATAATAATAATATATAAATATATACAATAATAAAGTTTAGACATATATGTAAATCTAAGTTAAAATTACATTTTATATTAAGATTATTTATCCAAATTTAAATATTATGTATTTACGAGTGATATTTTCTTATTATCGACGAATAAAACCCAAAAAAAAAGTATAAAAACAAATGCTAATTTGTTTATGCTTATTTCTGATCTATTATTTTTACAATTTTTAAATTTTTTATAACAAAAACAGTTTTTCTGTCACAAATTTACCGGAATTATTTGAAAAATCTACGGGGCAAGTTGGCCACATGGCCAACGTGTCCCGATTACATCAGCCCATCCTGCCCCATTGTCATGTTTAGAGTATAAACAACTTTCTCCTTAAACCATCAATTAATGTTGTGGAACATTATATACTAAAATAATCCTTACACTATAAGCTTTAAATATAGCACTTGAATAATGCTGTTATATAAATTTCCACCACACATATTTACAATATTTACGGATTCGCGTTTTACATCAATTTAAAAGAATAAATTTAAAAATTTGTGGTTTATAATATAAAGCGCTGGCTATAAACCCATGCATTTAAAAAATATACGCAAGTCATTTGCACCACAGGGCTACCGGGGACTTGCTTGTCGTTGTCGTTGAAATTGTTTATTAATATATTATAACAGTACTATGAAGTTGTAAGTAAACTCGCAGAGGACTAAGAAAAGTCTTTTTATCAAAAATCTTTAAAAATTGAAATTATCATAAGAAAGAGAACTATATTCTACATAAATTTAACAATGCATAACCAATAAAAACAAAATCCAACTTAAGATATATTCCCAGTAAGCACGGGAAGTAAAATCGATGTCTTTTAAACATCTTTTAAATGTTTTGGGCGTCTTTTGAACGTCTTTTAAATGTTTTGGACGTTTTTAGAGACATTCAAAAATGTCTCTTTAAAGTCCTGTGCTCATTTGGCTGTTATTATATACCTTATGCTAATAAACGCTTGGTTTGTTTGTCATACAGTGTAACGGCAACAAAATTTTAACATCACTTGATTGAAACCTGTTTATGTTTTTGTTATTTAAATAATGGAAGGTATATTTCAAAGGTCTATAACGAGATTCAACAGACGTTTTAAAGACATCTGTTTTCATGCAGTTTAAACTCTGTAAAAATTGACGTCCGTTAGACGTCCGTAGGACATAGCGTTTAAACCGGGGACGGACGGACAGAGTTTTAGTGTCCTCTGGGCATCTTGAAGACAACGTATGTCCATTGGATAAGAATTGGATACTTCAACAAAAGCTACTAAAAATGAGAATGACCTAGATATCAAGAGATTACAAATATCTATTAACACTTTCATTCTCACGATTAAGCCGTGGACGAGAATTTAATATATTAGATATTGTCAAAATTAGGTAACGACAAGCTTGAGACATTTTTATTGAAGTTGGAAAGAACATTTTGGACTCAATTGCAAATGAGGATGTAATTGGCTATTTTTGTAAAGGTTCACTAGAGTCATCAAATATGTTCTATCTTAAATATCAGTTACACCACACAGACCACAAAACTTTTTAAATTTTTTTAATCTTAAGTAAGTTTAAGAACTATTATTAATTATTTATCATAACAAAATTCGTCACGATATTATTACTATTGTTATTATTACTATTATTATTGTTATTGTTATTATTGTTAATACTATTATTATCAATGTCTACACAATTATCATGTATATCAATTGATTCATGCATAAGTAACATGAGAGACTGAGTTATTTTGATAGCCTGAATAAATTTGAACTTTTAAAGTATACGATTAGTTTATCTATTGAAATTGAAAAAAAATATTCACATAGATGAATTTTGTTACTTATAATAGCTAAATACCACCCTAACCTATTTTAAACCCTTTTCTGATCTTATATTGCCCCTCCCTCATTCCTTTCCAGTAAGATTTGCAGCGACAATTCGCGCCTGAGTGTCATCAATTTTAATCTTTTGTAGAAGATAACCAAATCATGGATTTTACTTTCCTCTAATTTCCTTGATAATTATCAAATGCACAAATTTTTTATTTTTGAAACTTGTTAAGTAGTTCCGAAAAATATTTATTTTCAATTTTTTACGAATTTTCTAAAATAAATATTTACAGTTTTTTTTTACTTTTTTGGTTGCAATTATTTTTGTTTTCAATAAAGTTATATATAAATTCTATTTGATTTTTGAAATTTTTTTTAACTCTTTGGTTATCTTAAAAGAATTTAAACTCTTAGATTTTGCTATTATTTTAACTATGAGAAAGCCTAAATCATATACAAAATAAAATGTTTGAAAAAAATTTAATATATATCATTTGCATAATCATTAGTGTTAATGTTGTTTCAATTACTATAGGTGGTCTTTGAATAAATCTACGTTATTCTGAATGAATATGCGTTTCTTCATTATTTTTTTGTTGTCAATGTTTTTTTCTATATTTGTATTAACTGTTACGAAAATGGGAAAAGGGTCGGTTAGATTGGTTTTTCCTGCTGGATTTTGAAACATTTCTGAGTTTTTCCGACTGCATTATAAAACACTGATTTAAAAAAAAGTATGATAAAGCAACACAATCTTCTTGTTTAGGATTAAAGCTATATATGTTTTAGAATTTGAAAAAAAATTAATATATAGCTCTTAAAAATTATAACCAACGTTTTGCACAACCAATATTTATGGATTCCAACTTTGATTCAAATTTTTTGTTTGTAGCTTGCTTTTTAATGCGTATTATTTAAAGTGCTTTTGTTTGTAGCTTGCTTTTTAATGCGTATTATTTAGAGTTTAATGCGTATTATTTAGAGTATAGTTTAGAAGATCAATTCTTTTGTTAATTTTGAACATTTATTATTGTTAACTCAGCCCAAATCATTATATAATGATGATGTAGTTTAAATATCATATACCTTCTAAGCGCATAAATACCAAGGAATGCAAATAATTTTTTGTGATATATATATATTAATTTGAAAATCAAATAAATGAATTAAACTTTTGATGTTACGTTAAGTATGTTTATGCAACTTGTAAAATGCATAACAATCTAAGAAAGCGTTTCTCGATTTGTCACAAATAATGTTTCCTTAACATTATTGTTATTGATAGCATTCCAAGCTTTTCACAGTTGGCAAGCAGATAACAAAATAAAGTAAAAAAGTTATTTTATTGTGTATTGTTATTTACATATCTAGCTTTTATTATATATATATATATATATATATATATATATATATATATATATATATATATATATATATATATATATATATATATATATATATATATATATATATATATATATTGTTAAATAAAACCTTAATGAAATACTGTTTGTGAAAAATATGTAGGTACTTTTTAGATTACATTTTTATGCATTTTAAAAGTTACATAAGACATATTTAAAACAACTTCTATTATTTTAAGTGAAAAGGAGGCTAATCACAGCAACCATATAATTAATACATATTACATAATTTATTTCAGCAGGCTACGCAACAGTTTTTTCTTGCACGAGTCATTAGATTACAACAACATTGTAAATTACAAAAATATTGTACAACGTTTTAAATAGATTATGAAACACTATAATATACGTTAATAATATACTATATTTAAGAGGGGATTTTATGTTGAATGTTCTTGGAGAAAAAATAGAAATAATGCATTTGGACATAATTCTATGTAAGTCGAGCAGTTCAACAATTACAACAGTTTTTCATAAAAAAATTTATACACCAACTTTTACAGCTTTACATCGTTTTCATATAAAATAAGTCTTATAAAATGTTTAATTGATAGAACTTTTAAAATTAACAATACTACCCTTGGTCTCCGCTATGATATTTTAAATCTTTTCAAAATTCTTAAACGTAATATGTACCCATCTTGGCTAATAGAAAAAATCCAAAACTCTCACTTAAATGAAGATAATTATGTCGTTCTATTACCATCTAAAGACCTTACAAACTCTTGCTATTTCAAACTCCCTTATATTGGTCGAATATCTGAGCTAACGAAACAAAGGTTACACGCAAATATAAAGAGACATTGTAAGTCGGTTACCGTAAAATTAGTATTCACTTCGTTAAAAGTGTCTAATTTTTTTTCATCTAAAGATCACTTTCCTGTAAATTTTAAATTATTTGTTGTCTACAAATTTGTTTGTGTAGAATGTAAATCCTGTTATAAAGGCAAAACCTCTCGCCACCTAAAGATGCGAGTGATTGAACATATAGAAATTATAATGATGAATGCTTTTCGATTTTGGATCGTGCTAAAAACAAAATTGAATTAAAAATTAAAGAAAGCATTCATATAGGATGGGAAAAACCCGATATGAATAAACAAGTAAACCATGTTAAAATGACTCTTATAACTTAATAGGATTTACCGGTTTCTTTTGTTTTATTTGACATTTGTTAAAATAATTTTTAATAAATCTTTTTGTATATATAAGGAAATCTTTTTGTATATATAGAAAATCTTTTTGCATATATAGTTAGTTTACAATGTTATGGCTTATATTATGTTTATTTTTACAATTATATACTCTATTTTATAGTGTTTTTAACAAATATATTTTAACTGATGATGACTATATATAGTCGAAACATGTGTTGATAAATAAAATAATTTTATATAAAATTAAAAAATTTTTAAAAGTAATATATATATATATATATATATATATATATATATATATATATATATATATATATATATATATATATATATATATATATATATATATATATATATATATGTATATATATATATATGTCCACATTTTTTTATAACTTGATATATTTCATAATTTAAGGTATATTTTCTAACGGTTTAAAATAAGATACAAGTGAGTGAAATTCTAAATTTATTGACTTTTGAAATATTTAGCCTATAAAAATCACATGTCTTTCAAATAAATATAAATCACATGACTGTTAAATAAAACTAAACGAAAAAGAAATTACATATTTAGGCGAAATTTAGTTTACTTTACAAGTTTATTTATCTCAATACAATTATTATTTAATCAAGATATTATTTTTAACAATTTTAATCATAATGTTTAATAATGCAATTAATATGTATAATATAATGCAATTGCACTAATTCATTTTAGTAAATAATATTCTCTAATGTTAATATAAAATTTTAATATAAAATTATTTTTGTTAAATAATATTCTCCAATGTTAATATAAAATTTTAATATAAAAATGAAAGTAATTTTAATATAAAAATAACATGAGAGTATATTGTTAAAACAAAATTTTATAATTAATCAAAAGAAAAAACTTTTTTGAAACAGTCAAATTTTAATGAAGTTTTGTAATAAAAATTTTGTTTTATTGTTTTTATAAATAAAATTGCGAGAAAAAAAAAAAACTCTATCTAATTACTATCGAAATAAAAATATGTTTTTTTTTTAGTTTCAGGTTATTATGTTTACGCATAATTATGCTTGTATTTTTTATATTATGTTTCTGGAGAAAAAAATATTATAGTAGACCCAACTTGTAATAAAGGGTTATGCGAAGTTATGCGAATATATATATATATATATATATATATATATATATATATATATATATATATATATATATATATATATATATATATATATATATATATATATATATATACCAATAATAAAAGTAATTTTTCGGTAGACAGGGCTCAATACAAAAGTAGAGCAAATATATAAAATAATATTAGAATAATAATAAAATACAATTAAATTAGTAACATAACTCAGAGTTTCATGTTTTATGCGATTATCAGACGTTACAAACAAACATAACAACAACAAAAATGCAATACTGTTAGAAAACACTTTTAAACCAAACACAAAGCCATTATAATAAACGTAAATTCTAACCACCCCCGTAGTAGTATTAATCTAGCAAGGAAGTTTTTGATAGACTAACATCGTTTTATAACAATTTATTAGCCGCAAGTGGGTATAATGAAAAGATTACTTTCTAACTCTGAGTTATGTTACTAATTTAATTGTATTTTATTATTATTCTAATATTAATATATATATTTGCTCTACTTTTGTATTGAGCCCTGTCTACCGAAAAATTACTTTTATTATTGGTATATATATATATATATATATATATATATATATATATATATATATATATATATATATATATATATATATATATATATATATATATATATATATATATATATATATATATATATATATATATATATATATATATATATATATATATATATATGGCATTTTATTATTATTGTTATTAAACAAAACGACAGGTTGATAAGAATATATTGTGATAAACTTTTTCAAAAGGTTGATAGCAACATATCGTAGGCTTGCATCTATCTTTGCTTATAAGTTACAAGTTGTTTTAAATGGAATCTTGTATGATTTGTATGCTTCTCCTATTCTCCTGTTGTTCTCTTTTTCTCAGTGCACCTCTGTCTAGGAATATTAACTTTATTTAAGTTTTAAAACCTAAATTAGATAAATAATAGACATTATTGTTTACATTCCTAAAACTTTTAAAAAGGTGAATTTTTTATAAATTGTTTTAGTTCTTATTTAGTTAAAGTTTAACAAAAATGAATAATTTAACCTCATTTGGCAAATAAGAAATTACTTCGAATAACTAGAAATAGATAAATAAAAGTGATTTCATGTTAACATAATAATGTTGCAGGATTTAGATATAAAAAGGGATGGGACATTTAAAATAAGATGGTACGTAAGTCGTTGTCATAAAAACAAGTCTTGCGATTTTCTGGAAAACTGTGTAGTTTCAATTGCTTTTCTTTTAAAAGTTTATTGGTCGTTTGATTTCGATCTCAATATTGTCAAAACAAGACTGTTAATGCAAAATCTGATACTTTTGACTTTTCAGGAGCACAGAGCTCTTCATAGTAATAATTCATTACTTATTGAATTATTTTGTTAATTTATTTTTTTAGAGTTGACTTTAAAAATATTATCGTATTAATTGGTTTTAAAGAATATGAATAAAACAAAGAAACTTTTAAAAATTTATAGGTTGAATTTTAAACTCATAGAACAAACCAATACTATGAATTTTTTTTTTTTTTCCATTTTAGTACTTTCAAATAAAGTTTAAAATGTTTAAAATAACTAATCCAAAGTGAGGTTTTTAAAAAATTAATACACTGAAATATGCATATCAGTGTATTATTGAGTATAGTGATATACACATCCTTTCATTTGCATATTCCATCTGCATATTGCATTATCTTCTAATGTATTTATAAACCTTTTTAATGCAAAACCCATAAACAAATACAATCTTCGCAATGAAAAAAATCTTCAAGAACCTTTCTGCTTAACTAAATTTGAACAGCTAATTATTTCTTATCGCGGTCCTTCTTTATGGAATAAAATAGTTTTGCCAAATTTTGATTTGTCGTTGAAATGGACTTTAACTTCTTTCAAACGCTAATTAAAAGAGGTTATCTTTTCAGTAGAAAATATTTTTTCTTGTTTTTCGTTCCTTTGTTTCATTTAATTCATATAATTTATCCAGTATATTTATATTTTAAAAGCGCAGTTATATTTAGTTTATGTTGATTTATTTTTATTGGTTAATTTGATTTTATTTTTATTATTATTATTATATTTGATATTGTAAAGGGCTTCATGATAAGATTGTATGATCTTCTGGAAGCCGATTATATTTGTAATAAAGCCATTCTGTAACTTCTTCATTCCGTAATTTCTTTTATTCAAGGCAAATGAATTTACAAAAAAAAAAAAAGCTACTCTCTCTTTGTCTTTCTCTCTTTGCTGCGCGTTAGAAATGTTTGTAATATTATTCATTAGAATCTAACTTCGTTGGCATAAACACACACGCGCGCGCAAAAAACAAACACAAAAACACACACACCACACACACACCCATACGCACCATATACAATAAAATAAAACAAATGTCTTGAAAAAGACAATTTTTATTTGGATTTGTAACGTTAAGTAAAAAAAATCTGGTCTGGCGCCCAAAACGTCATTTAACTCAGCTATGCAATTGAGTAGTTTTAATAACAGTACCCGGAGATAGCACAATTAAAATTATATATTATTTTATTTACATAAATTATTTACAAAAAATTATGATTGACGTTAAAACTTAAATAATGTCACTAAAAGCTTTTGCGGTGAAAGTTGGACAATTTGGACATTTTTAACACTATAAATTGTTGCGTAAAGAAAAGCCGAATGTGTTTTGCAGCACGTGCATATTCGTCTTGCATTATCGTGGCAATATTATTTTCTAAACAGTTTTCATTTCCTAGCGCGTTTTTGTGTTTTTCTCCAAAAATTTTTAAGTTAATTGAACTAATCAGACGAACGACTGCTCGCGATATGTTTATTAATTCGAAAAACAAATTCAGCTATTTAATATTTTGTTGTTGTTCATTTTTATTTTTATTTTTTTTAAATAGTACTTTTATTAAATAATCTAAATACTTAAATTTTGATGACCAAAAATGTTAGTTGAAAGTAAATTTTAATAAAATTAAACTAACAATAACTAATGTTAACGTAAGTTCTATTTAGTCTTTCTATTAACTTTTAAGTTTTAAAACATCTTAAATAATAATCAAAATTCTGCTGAATATTTTATGCTGTTTTTGATTATTTAGTTCAACCCATTCAACAACTTTTCTTCATTTGAAAAAACATGCAACAAGTAGGAATTGGTTGTTTTAGCACTAAATGGAATCAAACTTAATGAAATGAATGTTGCGATGAATTCAAAATGATACTCTTTCAACTATGATAAGTCTAAGATAATATTTCATGTCCATGTTAACTTTTTATCATTATCTGCAATAATCTAAATTAGTTTAATGTTCTACAATTATCTTCTTATCTTCATAACAAGCCTATATTGTAAACTCGCAATTACAATTTACAAAAGTAATTCTCAATTTCATTTTACGGTTCTAAAGATACATTTAACCAAAAATTCTAAAATTTTCTAAGGCAAAATTCTAAAAATTCAAAAAATCTAAAAAATTTTTTCTTGTTACAGGCTCTAAACATTGCTAATAGTTATTAATATTGATACTATCAAATATGAGAATGATTTTGATAGATTTAAAGAGCGCAAATTTATTGGGAAAATTACCGGTACCCTAATATTTTGGAGAAAATTTTTTTTTCAAAAATAGGTCAACCTGGTACTCAAAAGAAGGAAAATTTTATAAAAAATTTAAAAATAATAATCGTTTAAAAAAAATCAAAATGTTAAAAAATATTGTTGTTAAAAAACATGTAAAAATGCACCTTTTTCACTTATATTATTTTGTAATAACATAAGTGAAAAAGGTGTATTACATAATAACTTAGTTTTTAATAACTTAGATTTTATTACAAAATAACTTAGTTATTATGTAATAAAATCTAAAATAATAATTTTTATATGAAAAAATTATTATTTTTGAAATTTTTATAAAATTTCGCTTTATTTGAGTACCTACATCACATAATTTTAAAAAACTTTTTTTTTGAATAATAATAGGGCCTGCTATTTTTTGTAATTATAGTTGCGGGTGGAAGACATTGTTCAATCCATAAAAGTAAATACTTTCCTAAATTAGTACATAAAAAAACAACTTTCTAGACCATAGCCAGGTTAGCAACTCTAAAAAAAAATTTTATGACCCACCCTAATATATATATATATATATATATATATATATATATATATATATATATATATATATATATATATATATATATATATATATATATATATACCCAGCTGAAATAAAACGTTCAACAAACGTTGCATACGTTTAAGAACGTTCTATGAACGTTCATTGAACGTGTCGAAGGTTCTCGCAAAGTTCGTCAAAAGTACTTGAACGTTTTGTGTTAGCTGGATATATATATATATATATATATATATATATATATATATATATATATATATATATATATATATATACATAACTAAGTTTGATTTTTATATTGGTTAAAACATTTTTTTTTTTAATTTTTACTAAATTTAAATAAATGCAAATAATAAATTAGTGTAAATGTAAACAAAGCACTATAATACTTTGTTTACACTTACACTAATTTATTATTTGCATTTATTTAAAACCTTTTGCTGTTTAAACTCATTTCAAGTTTATACTGTATAGTATTTGATATTTAAAGTCTATTTAATACAAAGACTTTGTGACGTATTTTGGAGCCCCTTGTTGTTTTTACGAATATCTTAAAACACAAGCGTATACATTTCTGAATGTATAATTCTGACTATAATTCCGAATTAATAATATATAGTTCCGAATGCATAATTCCGAATATAATAGTATAGTTCTAACACTAAAAACTTTTTGCAACAATTTCTAGTATTATTAAATTTTTTTAAAAAATGATAAAATTTTAAATTTGAAAAGGTTTTACATAACAGTTTTATAAAATATTTAGAAATATTAATAAAAACTTGTTTAAACTTAATTACAGTTTTTTTTTCTCAAAAAAAATGCAAATATGGTACAACCATATTGATATGGTTAAAAAAAAATTTAATTTAGTATTTAATTCATTTGTGGCTTTTGAATTGTTATAATTCTAATTTAAAATTATTAAATTGTAAAAATAAATAAACTGTCTACATAAATTCCTCGTTAAAAGGTTTTAGATTGACAAAAATTATATACAAAGTATAATTTTTGTTTTCTCACAAGTTCTTTTACAGAATAGTTTATTAACTGGAAAAAAAGTTAATAACTGTGTTTATTTATTATATAAAATGTTCATTGCTACAAAATAAATTTTAAAAGTTTGGCTTTTTCCTCCGTTAAACTTTTTCTCATAAATGCAGTTTCTTTTTTTTTTTAATTATTTATTTTTTGTAGTTATCAAGGTACTCCCTAGTGGGCACAGTACGTTTTTTAAGCATTCTTCGGACGTTTTTATAGGTTTAAACCTTATAAAAACCTCCACAAAACGTGTAAAAAACTTACTGGGTCTCAAAAATCTCTACAATCTATGACTAAGCTTGGCGAAAAAACATATAATAAGGAAGTTCACGTCTCTTTCCTTAACAATGTCGTTCATTGGGTTAAAGCCGGCGTCGAACCTCGGACTTCTGGTTTCTGAGCCAGAACTCTAATCACTGCACCGCAGCTGAACAGCTTAAATAAATATTTGTTAGACTAAACATCAAATCAAAAAATTAAAACAAAAAATTTTATCTATAGTTTTGTGTTATTTGCCAGTTACGTTTAGTTGATACGGTTACCAAGGCCGACAACACTGGGGAGGGGGGGGGCAGGGGACACGTGTCCCCCCCACCCTCACACACACTTTTTTTCAATATTGGAATTTTTTTCAATATTGGTGCTTTACAAATTTGGGGTTGGTTGGGTTTTGGCTATTTGTAGTGAGTCCTTTTTTACTGCAGTATGAAATAGGCGTAAGTCGCGGGGTAAAGCATAAGTGGCGATGACGTTTGTCTGACGGGATAAACTAGTTATAAATGCTGATCCTCATCGAAACGCCAGTAATAATAGACGCGACTCTGAGGAGATGTTTATTACTTAATCACTACACCAATTATGTTTACACATTAGCATTAATGTTTTTTTTTTTTTCCATTATTAGTCCTTTCATTGTTGTTAGCATATTTTTAATTTGTTGAATGGTTTTTTGTTTTACAAATTTTTGACTGGTTATGTATTTCTTGTATATTTTAGTTCATATTGGTATTTATAAAACAATTTATTTTTTTTTATTTTTTTTTTTTTGTTATATTTTTTTATATATATATATATATATATATATATATATATATATATATATATATATATATATATATATATATATATATATATATATATATATATATATGTATATATATATATATATGTATATATATATATATATATATATATATATATATATATATATATATATATATATATATATATATATATATATATATATATATATATATATATATATATATATATATATATATATTATATATATATATATATATATATATATATATACCAATGAACGACATTGTTAAGGAAAGAGACGTGAACTTCCTTATTATATGTTTTTTCGCCAAGCTTAGTCATAAGATTGTAGAGATTTTTGAGACCCAGTAAGTTTTTTACACGTTTTGTGGAGGTTTTATTTTATTTTTTATTTTTATTTTTTTTTTTTATTATTATTATTATTATTATTTGCTTTTATTTTATTTTTTTTATTTTTATTTTTTTTTTTTATTTTTTTTTATTTATTGTTATTATGGTTGAGTACTGTTTTGGTTGTATAGCTTGTCTTATTTATTTTTAAATATTCCTCTGTTAATCTTTCCCATTAAACACACGACGTCTAAAAAACGTCTAAAAAACGTCTTTTAGACGTCTAGACGTCTTATAGACGTTTTTTAGGCGTCTTTTAAACGTCGTGTGTTTACTGGGTTATTTTTGTCTTGACAACTGTCAAAATATGCTTTGTCTAATAAATAATTCTCCTTTATTCTAATGTACTTCATTTCTTCCCTTAGGCGTTCACTGCTCGTGTGTGACCATTCGGCGAATTTTAAATGCAAGGTTTTTAAATAAAAATATACCTTTTAATAAAAACTCTTGCTCTTTTTACTAGCAAGCGCTTAAATTTTATTTATTTTTATAATATAATAGTTTTAATATTATAATATAAATTATATATAGTATAATATTAAATTATAATAAAAATTAGTATATTATAAAAAATAACAAAAATATAAGCGCTTGCTGGTGGAAAGAGCAAGAGTTTTTAATAAAAGTCATACATTAATTTTATTTTATATGTTTATTATATTTTTAATTTTAATTATTTATATATATATATATATATATATATATATATATATATATATATATATATATATATATATATATATATATATATATATATATATATATATACATATATATATATATATATATATATATATATATATATATATATATATATATATATATATATATATATATATATATATATATATATATATATATATATATATATATATATATATATATATATATATAAACATATATATATATAAACATATATATATATATAAACATATATATATATATATAAACATATATACATTTTGCAGACAAACAATAATGTTTTGAGTTATTTTTTTTAGTAAAATACAGAAAAAGAAAGTTTTAAAAGAAAAACATTGCAAAGAGAAGAAATAATTACACAACCAAACAGCTATTATACCAAAGACGATATAAAAATTGCTAAACTACAATTATAAGCTTAAACTTTATTAACTTTTCCTTTTTTTGACGATCCCTAAATCCCAGGAAATTTTGGAGACTAATCCCTGGATTTCGGGATAAACAATTTGTACGAAATCCCGGGATTTCGGGATCCCGGGATTGCCATCCCTACTTTCTTATGAAAGGTGTTTCCGAAATCAAAACTTTGTCTAATTTCAAAATTTTGTCTAAAGAATCGGATTACAATTATTATAGGTTTATTTTCATAATATAAGCCATTTGGACAATTTTTATTCTGTCATTTTAATGCTTTATCGTACAAAAAAAATGGTAAACTGGTTATTTAAAAAATCGAAAATCAAAATAAACCAAAATTGTTAATAATTAATGACTTATATATCAATAAAAATTTTAATATGCTATAGCCGTTTTGAAAAGCTTAGAAATAACTTTTTCCAAACATATATACAAATATTATTGATATTAATACTTTTTATTAATTATAGCAACTTATTAACAAGACGACTTAATTAAAAAAAAAAAAAGAAAAAACCTAATAAACATAATTATGTTTAAATAACTTCTTCAGTTATTTCTACCTTTTTGAGCCTATGCAGAATATTAATTTCTTAAAAGTGCATGTCAACCTTATTCCTTTAACTTGTCAAGCTTTGTCAGCTTGTTGTTGTTATTGCTAAATAATATTATAAGTATACTTAACAGAATTAGTGTTACCTATAAAAATAATATTAAATCTATCCAGTCTCTCTAACCGATGAGCTTCGTCCAATCTGGATTAGTTTTAAAAGTTAAAGTGCAAAGTAATTTTAATCAATGCGCTTAGATAATTGTTATCATACAATTTGACAAATAACATTTAATGCCCAATGAAAGTATTTTATAAAAAAAAATATAATGCGTAACGTTGTCTAAATGCGATTACTGAAACCAATTTTTTTTATTCAAATTTAAAATTTAGTTTCGTTAAAGACAAAAAACCATTATTCTTAGTTACGTGTTCAAACTTAATATATTTAAATACAGCACAATCTTATGGCCAGTTATGTGAGATGACTATTTTTATCTAAATTAAAGTGCAAAGTAATTTTAATCAACGCGTTTAGATAATTGTTATCATACAATTTGACAAATAACATTTAATGTATTTTATAAAAAAAATATAATGCGTCACATTGAAAGAATTTTATAAAAAAATATGCGTCACATTGCTAAATAAGTTTACTGAAACCAATTTTTTTTATTCAAATTTAAAATTTAGTTTCGACAAAAAACCATAATTGAGTGGGTCAGAAGCCAAGGGGTACAAGTGACAATTTTACCAAAATTAAGTTAAGTATAGAATTTGATAGAAGAAGCAAACAAAATTGTTGGTGCCCAAGGGATACAAGTGAATCTCTGCCCTGTGCTGCTTTCTACTGGAAAAACATAACAACAGCTGAGTATATTTAACAAAAATACTTTAACTTTAAACAGCTGTATCTCAAAACTATGAAAATGTCACTTGTACCCCTCGGCTTCTGACCCACTCAATTCTTAGTTACGTATTCAAACTTAATATATTTAAATAGAGCACGATGTTTTTTAAGTTACATAATGAATCTTTGTACTACAACCTTTTATTTTCAATCAAGATAATTTAGCGGAGAGCTAAAATACAGATTTAACAGCTTCAATAAAGTTTAAATTCGCCACCATGTTAGATTTTGCTTTTAAGGTTATGACATTTTTGCATCCCCTCTTCTTGTATAGAAAAAAGTGAACTTTGGTTTGAAAGTAACTAAAAAGTCAATGTTTTTATTTACTTTTTAAAAAAGGTCATTGCAAATGACCCTTGAATACTCTCTGGATCCCTTATATTAGTAATACAACTCTAATATTATATATAAATAATATAACTTTTAATTTAAAGAATCAAACTTTCATAGTGATTTCAGAAATAATAATGGATTCAACTAAAATTTAATTACTTATTTTTTATTTACAAAAAATACAATACTTTTTAATTATATTTGATATGATCATTTTTTAATGACGTTTATTTGCAATAAATTTTTTTACAATTTTTTTAATAAAAAGTTATAAATTAAAATTTTTTTTCAACTCTGGTTTTTTTGAAACCAAGGATGATACACTTTTGGAGAAAAAAATTCAGTGAAAAATGGAACTCAGTGAGTAATCAAGGATTGTTAGAGGCTGCCTTATTCAAAAAGTAGATAAAATCAATAATTTTTTAGTTACTTTCAAACTAAGGTTCACCAAAGTTTTTTTATTCATATATAAAAAAGATATATAAAAGCTGACAGAAGGCATTTACAAATGGCTTTTACTACAATCTTTAATTAAAGCCTGTATGTGGTCTCTAAAAAGATAAAGTAAAATGAAATTATTGAATAAATTAGATAAACCTCCTTTGAATTATTAAAAATAAAGCATAAACATGAATATTAATTTATTAAAATTAAGTAGTAAAATGAGTAAGATATATCTGGACACCGTAAGATATATCTAGACATCGTGGGGCAGGGGGCCCCCGGTGTCGTCCAAAAGTGTATCATCCTTGGTTTCAAAAAAACCAGAATTGAAAATAAATTTTAATATATAACTTTTTATTAAAAAATTGTAAAAAAATTTATTGCAAATAAATGTCATTATTGCGCCCCTCTTCGAAACCCGTGTATATAAATTAGTAAAATAAATATAGCAAGACAAAAAAACAAATACAAACATTGTTAATGATGTGGAATTCAATGTTAAATTAGAAATTACTACTGATCTAGTAAAAAAGTTTTTCATTTTTGTTTTCAAGATTAAAGCGTTTATCAACTTCAAAATATATAAATTGTTTTCTTTTTATAAAATGTTTCATAATTTTAGTTTGCGGTATGTAAAGAAACTTTTTTTTTCTGGCAATTGCTATATTAGTTAATTCTTAGAAGAGATTCTTGCTTGATTTTTTTTTTTTTTTAATATAGTTATTCAAAAACATGCTGTTTATGTTTTTTTATATAAAGTTACGAGTTGGTAAATATTGATATCATGCATATTCATTATTTGCATGTCTCTTGTTAATGGTTTTGCTCGCTCATTTTATGTTTTACTTTATATGCATGTTTTTGTAAAAAATATACTTTTTTATTGATTTTTTTTAGTTAAGAACTTATATATACTTAAAACTATCATAAAACTTATATATACTATATACTCAAACTTTTAATAAAATCTAAATGTTGATCTGTTGTTGAAAAAAAAAACTGCTTATTTTATGTAAATACTTTAAAGAAAAATACGAAAAATAGAGAGAAAATTATATTTCAAAACTTAGGGAGGAAACTATATTTTACAATTTTTTAAAAGTTAAAATTTAACTTTTTTCAACTTTATTTTGCATTTAAAAACAAAAAAAATACTACCTATTTTTAAAATAAAGACAAGTAAAAATACCTTACATTCATTGTTTTTAATTTCCTTTATTAAAAATTAACTTTACAAGTAACTTTTATAAAAAACGAATGTCTGTTGCAGAGACTTACAGTTTCATTCAAAATAATTTATGTACTTATCCAGACTTTTAAGCTAAGGTAAAGCAAAACTGATTCTTGGTGGTAATTTTTTTTAAACCGAATTTATATATTTTTATTTTATAGATGAACTTGCACCTAAAAATAAAAATAAAAATGTATAAATAAAAATATATAAATTACACCACTTAAGTGATATACAAATGTTTTTGATACACCACTCAAAAGCTAGAACCTCACTATCCTTGCTATTATGTGGTAAAAACTTTGCGTTTTGGTAACTTTTTAATATAGTGCTAAATTTTTTAAAAAATAAATAATTAAAAAAAAATCAATAAAAATGACTCATAGTTTTGACTTTTCGTAGATTGCCTAAGAAGAAATCATTTACACATATCGTTTACATTGTCTAAGAATAAATCATTTACATAAGACCGTTACATATACAAACCTTTCGAAAAAATTTACAAATTTGTGAAAATTTACTCACTATTATATAAACAATTTATTATCGAACAACAAAATGTACGTGCAGACTTCACGGATCCTTAAGAAAATTTTGTTTAAGTATTGAGCAATAAAGTTGTAGCTTTGTTTTTAGGTTTAAACGCTAACTTGCTTTGTTTAAGCCTAAACTTTTAATTGGATATCAAACAATACTTTTGATTGGATAGAGAACCATTAGGAAATTGTTATCTTTTATTCTGATTACTTTATAAAAGCTCCGTTTACAGGAACATTAACAACATGTTTGCCTAAGGTGTGAAAAAGCCTGAGTTTCCAATTATCCAATAATAACTTTGTTGACTAAATTTAATAACTTTTATTTGTCAATATGGTTTGCGTAATTGTTTGTAAACAAATTCCTATAAATACACTGTTTAACACTAAATCACACAACAACGCTCTGCTCCACTTAAGTACAAAGTGTCTTTAAAGTTCCAATAATAATGAATTTATTTGCAATAATGATTTTGCTGGTTTCCGTTGAACTAATTAAAACGCAAGGTTATATATTTATTTAGTTATTTTTATGTATTTATTTAGTTATTTAAAAAGTGGCAAATGAAATAAATGTGTATTATTCATTTATTGAAAAATACACTTTTGTATCAAAGCATTATTCTCTAGGACCACGTTTTGGACCAAATGGTATAAAAGAAATGAACATAAACCCAGAACACTTTAACGAATGTATTAATTGTATTGATGATAAAGCAATGCTTTTGATAAATACTCGGCTAAAAGAGTATGAACATTCAAACAAAACGAGCTGCGACATTTCCCAAAGTAACTTGAAGGAATGGGTGCGAAATTTTTGTAATAGAACTTTGAGTATTTGTAAAACTTTTAATTTTACATACATACATACATACATACATACATACATACATACATACATACATACATACATACATACATACATACATACATACATACATACATACATACATACATACATACATACATACATACATACATACATACATACATACATACATACATACATACATACATACATTTATAATTCTAATTTAGTGTATACAAAGATTAAAGATCATATTAAACGAGACAGATTCTGTTTGCAAGATTTATCCAGTTGAATGTGAGGTACAAATAAGTTTAATAGTTTTCAATTGCATAAAGTAAAAATCATAAAATTTAACTACTTATTCTTTACAAGCATTTTATAAAATAAATTCATCTGGTAATGTAATAATAACTTTTAATTAATTATGTTCATTTTTTTTAACATTAGTGCTTGAAGTCGTGTCACCGAATAAAATGAATAATGGCTGATTGTTTGTATAAACCGTCAACCAAAACACCAGGCTTTGTATCAGTCACTTTTTTTGTACAAAAATCTTAACACTGATATTGTTAGTTATAGCTATGATTATTATTTGATTAAAATGTTTTAAAAATAATATTTTGTAATTAAACAACAAAAATATATTCAAATTTTTATGTTTTTATCATTTTATTATTTTTTGTCGCTTTAATTTTGCGTATTAAAATATAAAGAAAATTATAATGATTTCTAAAAAACGTCAAAATTTTTTCTTATTCTACGATTAATAAAGCAGTCTGAACACAAAATATTTGATAACAGCAATAGGATTTGCAATAGGGTTTGCAATTATTTTTGATTTTTAAAATGCTTGTGATTAGATTGATGTGTGCTTTTAACAATAATATTAGAATTGTGTTACCAAAACAGTTTCACTTTTATTTAGAAAGTAAGCCTAAATTAATTTGTAGCGCTATATGATTGGGGTCTATCAATACTTATATTTAGTGTTAGTGCAAACCCAATCTACTTAAGCGGTATTCTCTTTAAAATCTTCTTTAATTCATCAAATATGTACTTTGGGATGGAACAATTTAGCAATAGCCCCTAACGCTAAAATATCTTAGCTGCTTAACAAACATTTTATGGTGAAATTCCAGTAGACCTATATATGCATTTTGAGCGGTCTACTGTAGTTTTGCTATTATTATCATTAGTAGCTGGTTGAAAAGTTAATAGCTGGTCACTTAAAACGGATGCCAGTAGTGGTTTCCTAAGTAATCAATAAGCAAAACTCCAATGAATCATAAAATAATAAGTTTTTTAAACTATGAACGTAGTTTAAAAAACTTATAAATATTAAATTCATTCAAAAATGATTGGAGTTTTTTTTAAGTGACCAGCTATTAACTTTTCAACCTGTAAAATAGTGTAAACAAGTATATGTGTTTACATTTTTTTATTGCTTTTATGCGATTTTTAATATACTATCACATTTCATTTGGCTTGTGTTTACTCTAGATTATGCGGGTTATTCATATTTTTACGTTAACATTATTCGAATGAGGTATCTATGACAGCGTTAGGGTTATTGAAGACTCTATTAAGTTTAATTGATTTTTTCGATTTTTTAATGATACTTATTGCTTTTTGATCGTCTTGTGTTTATTTATTTTAGTTGCCTTCCAAAACATTTTTTTAGTATTTTTTGTTGGCATACTTACTTAAACTGTCACGGTTAGCACGGATCCTGATAATGCCAACCTAACTGGCCCAAGAACGCTACTTACATGGGCTGATAGTGTACTCATCAATATAATTCAGAACTAAAATTAAAAAAAAAAAAAAATCAAATTACCATTTTAAAAATATCAAAATATAAAACAAAATGAAGTAAAAACATGATCAAAAGATATAAACAAATAAAGATAAAAAACAAATCAAAATAACACAGCAAATAGAAAAAAAAAAGATTAAATAGTTCGAAAATGTAAAATAAAAAAAAAATAAAAAAATACGAAATAAAATACGTTAGTCTGCTATAAAGAATATCATTGAAAAAAAAGAACAAGAAAAAATTTTTAACTTTTGTTTAGTGAATACATTGTTTATATTGATGTGTATTTTTACTGTTATATTTATATGTCGTGTATTTTTGTGTATGCATTTAATGCATTTTTTACTTTTATTAACCTTAATTTTATGTATAACAAGTGCTTTTTAATTTTTATTTTATTAATTTGTTTATTATACTTACTATATAATTTTTGTTATTATATTATAAAAACTAAAATTATTATATTCATTCTTTGTACAAAGAATAAAAGATTGCATAGTCTTTTATCGAAAGTCGTTTTTATGTCATTGTTATTTGTTATAATTTGTCAGTTTATTATTGTTTGTAACTGTAACTATGTATATATAGTTGATTGTTGTATGAAAGATTGTATTGATTTATTTTAATTCTTTTAATTACTGGTTTTTATAATTTTTATTGACGTAATTAATGGACAGCCTTCTATTAAATATTTATTTAATTATTCCGTTATATATGTATTCTATTTATTATTATCATGTTTTTATTTTAATCATTATTATTGGGTGTTAATTATACTTATTGGTAATATTGTTAATGTTATTCTTATTATTATGCAATAAATTATTTTTTTATTGTACTATTGTTAATTTATTGCTATTTTTATTATTATTATAACTATATGTGTCTATAATTTTTTATATCATCAAAGAGGTTTTTACTTTATATTAGTTTTAATAACTATTTGTAAACGACCGTGGAAAATTAGATCTTTTTTCCAGAATGTACAATTGATTGATTGATTGATTAGTTGATTGAATTATACCCTGTGATGCAAATTTTAATATCTTAAAATTTTGTCCGCGGAAAATAATTCAATTTAAATATTTAAAATAAGTAAAATTTTGACTTTATAGTGCAACAGTAAACACACTTTTATTTTTAAGAACCACTTTATATAATTTGATAAAAACTGGTGCTAATGCAGTTTATGGCCTCACCTAACTCTGGATAAAACTTTAGTTGTATTGGTTAACTGGTTGAGGGTTTATGGCAGTTGTAGTTTACATTTTATTAGTTTTTTGTTATTGAGACCTCAAAACGTTACCGGTTACTCTGATATTTGGTCACTATTTTCAAAATAATGATTACATGAGTGTTTTACTATGTTATACCAAAAATTTTTCTTGTATTTTCAATTTATTTGATTGCTAAAACTACCATTTTCATTTTATAAAAAAAAAAATATTGATCTCCTATTTAAAGTGTGGTTTGAAATGTGCATTACGTGAAAATAAGGTAAAAACTGCTGTCAAAATGCAAAATAATGTTAATAAATGTTTGAAAAGGTTTTGTTAAGATACCTAATAAAAAAAATATAAGAAATAAGATAAGATAACTAAAATAATTGACAAATAAAAGGTTTGGAAGGCCAGTCAGAGAAAACTTTTACGAAAGAGAGAATAGTCCTTAGAAGAGCAGTAAAAATATTTTGTAAAAATGTGGCTTTAAATAAAAAATTTCCTAAATAGTCAATAAGTATAACAAGAGTCATTAAGTTGTATAATTATTTCCTTTAAAAGAAACAGTTATTTAAAATATTTTCCTTTTAAATTAAGTAACTGTTTCTTTGAATTAATTCGGTTGTAATGGATAATACCTGTACGTAAGTTGATGGAATATAAATTCAGAATAAATTTTGTAGAAGGGATAATTTAATTTAGCACAGTTGGATTTAGTGAGTAACCAAAATTCCAAATCTAGCAAAGGTTTTCAATAAAATTTGAAAATTTGTGTGCTTGAACTGTCTGAAAAAATGCTCGAGACATCCTACTGCTTTCCCAGCAGATTGAATTAGCCAACTGTACGGGACAAGGATCAATATTAGTGATTTTTGGATATCACGAGGACACTGCAAATCGTGTAAAAAAATTTTGCGCAGGTAAGAAGAGGGGAAAGAAGTTATACTCCTTCCTTTGTTTAATTTCAGTTCAATACAAGTGCAATCTGAAACAAAAGTCACAATGTGTTATTGCCTAATCTGTTAAATTGGTCGTTCGAAGCTGTAAGAAAAGTATCCTCTTGAAGAGCAATCATTAAGAAAAAAATAAATGCACGTTGCAGTACATGTCTTTGCGCTTTAGAAAAAAACCCTCCAATGCTCTCAAATAAAGCTCAGGAAAAACCTTTAATCTTTAGCAGCAAAAGATTACAGGCTAGTTGAACAATTTGTATCTCGAGTTATTTCCAATAAAGAATTATTCCCTAAAGGAAGTATTCAACTTGCTAAAGCATATGGCGAGCCTCCACCTTCAATTACCCCATGTAAATGTTTAAACATAAATAAATTTTACATAATTATTTAAAGAAAATTTTTAAAACAAGAGACAAATCAGGTTTTGGGAAGTAAATTTTTAAAACTTTTTAATCACTTTAAAAACGAATAGTTTGAAAGTTTTAAAAGTATTTTCTGACCTAAGTAATTTATTAAAATAAAGATAAAATATGTATGTTTTGGCTTCAAGTCAAATTAGTGCCCAGCTACTATCAAGCGTTCAAAAGCTTATCTTTCTAACTTTTGTAAATGCACAATTAAATACGGGACTATCAAACAACGAATTAAAGAAACTGGTCAAAACTGTAAACCGAAAATCAAGCAGCAAGATGGTAGAGCCAAATTTTTTTTAGAATTTCTTAAAAGCAGGTTAATACTCGAGTGATTTCTTCACCTGCAGTGACTTAAAAACTACCGATGGAAAAGGAGATTTTGGTATAATTCGGGTTGTTGCTGCAACGATTTATTAAGTCTTGTGAATCATGTTATTCAATCTCGCTAAATCTCTTATGAATTTCTTGTTTAGCTTGGAATTAATGATAGTAATATTTTTCTCAAGTTTAATCTAAGCATTTTTGATACTGAGTTAAGGGTTGATATCATCTCACCGCCTCAAAAACAACCTCCCACTGAAATAACTGGCAAAGACATTATAATTATAAGACAAGTTCTTGTTGCGGTATCAGAAGATTTGCCAGAAACTCACTCCAACATTAAGCAAATGTGGTCACTAATTAATGCAAACAGAATTAAACTAATTTTGGCTTGCAATGTGAAAGTTGCAAAAATAATTTTTGATCTTCAAACCCATGCCAATATGCACCCTGGTACATGGGTGAGACGACAAATCCAAGTTACTTGCTAAATCTGGAAACTTAAGAACACTGGGCTCCATTAAATCTAGACTCGAGTCTTTTTAGCAATCAGGGGTAATTAATTGTGCAAAGTTGTTTAGCAGTATCATTCAAATGCCAATCATCAGTGGGTTTGATAATGTTCTAATTTTGGAAATAATCCACCAATGGAATTGCATCTTCATATAGGAGTTGTCAATTTTCTTTTAAAAATACTTAAAGATACTTTTTTCTTGGATAGAAGCTGTTACATGGCCAGCTGCCCTCCACATTCAACTGAGCCCGTATCATGGGGGTCAGTTTAAGGTAAATGAAAAATTTCAATTTAGTTTTAAAAGCTTGCTTTGCATTTATCTTTCAGCTGGATTTTACTGAAATAACTCAAATTTTTAGATGGTGTTACTTAATGATAACTTCCAAGCTAGCAAATATATCGTGCTGTCTGGGAAAAGTGGAGTTCTGCGTGTTCAAGTGACTGACTGTCTAGTTTGGCTTTATCAGAACCCGTG